TACTTCCCTCGAGGTCCTGGGTTGGAGCGTGGGCCCGCGGACCGGTTACCTTGAGTAAAGATATTCCTTAATCCCTAAGGTGGCATGTTAACATATGCCACAAGCCTCCGTTGAGATCCTTTACAATAAATCGCACAAAATTCAGATGTACAAAATTAATGCAGCGGTAAACGTGTCCTTAAATAATCTTAGAATAAACCTTCACCTGAACCGAAGAAACTGGGTATTTGAACACATTTCACAAACTCACATAAATCATACATCACACACTTCGTACCGCATAATTACATAATACTTTATAAGTCAACACTAAAAACACCGGGTTAAGTTGGCTGAAGCAGTAACTCTTCAAGTTCGTGCTTGCAACGAGCCCGGTTCGAATATCATTCGGGACAGCGACTAAGCTGATTGACGTTTCCCGTAGTTTTCTTCAGACCCTACAGGTGAATTCCGAGATAGTCTCTCAAAATAGGCCATAACCACTTCATTTTCAATCCCTTCCATTTCGCTAAATGCGATCATCCGTTCATATAATTCGATGCTAAATAACTGCAGCAGTTGATACAGCGCCGATTCATATAACAGTGAAACAAACTGGTTACTAGACATAGCTACATGTACATTGGATGCTGCCCGCCACGTGTCCCCGTGCAAGACTAGTACGAGCCTCTCTATACAAAAGCAGCATAACCAGATCCCCACACCCGGCGTATTTGTAATTGGGATATTTTGGGATTCGAAAACTATTTGAAGGGCAAAATCGTCTGTAGTGGTCGGTCCGTGTTATCAGGTACAAGTTCACCAACGTTTCTACGATAGACACAGCTGTGAGAACCTCAAACCCAGCATCAACGACACTTAGTTTCTAGGATTGGGCACGAGATTGAAATGCAGTAAAACAAAACCTGGAATAAATTGAATTTGCTCCTTAAGCCCCCCCCCAAAAAAAACCTCCGTGCACAAGAATATAGTGAAGACTAACACAAATTTGCATCCAATAAGTGGATACTGGTAAAAATGGACACATTGCCTCTATGGCGCGGTGCTTGAAAAAGCAGTGGTCAGTCATTAGTCCATAAATTCAGCAAGCCTTTTATTGAAACAATTCCACGCTAATTATCTGCAGCAATTGATACAGCTTCATTAAAATAACATAGGATCCATTCAGCTAAGAGTAACACAAAACTACAGGTACCGATAATATAAGACCTCGCTATTGGCTGGCCGTAGAGCTCGTAAAAGAAAAACACTGTAGAGTGTGTAGAAGTGTAGAGATTATGCTAATGAGTGAGGTGGCCATACACTTACCGGGAGCTATGTCCCCCGCAGTCAATCAGTGCAGTTTCCCTCCAGCTGAAACAAAAGACAGACAATTCAAACGATTTATAAACCAACAATGTCAATCCACTACCGCAATCCTTGAAAGCAATAAAATGTAGGTACTATGAGGCATATGTGTACAACATTTGAGTTCCGTTATCCTGTTTACAGAAACAAGACATCTGTGTGTGGATGAATGAATAGAATGGATAAGTGGAAGGGTGGCTGAATGAGACTGCAACTGATATAGAGCATTGGGCATTTCCTTTGCCGGAAATATAGTATTCCTGATACACAGTGTTTGGGATTGGTTCTGATTTCGTCTACGTATAACTGGTGATCGCTATGACCTATTTTCGATTACAACCCCGCCGTCGGAAATATTAATAATGATTGAAATAGAACCCGTAGCTCCAAATAATAATCGAATGTAAAAAGACATTAAAATTAATTTAAAAGTGACAGAGATTATACGTGACTTTGTCTACATGTCTCTGTACAATAACAATCACCCATGTGAACAGGAGAGGACGCCAAGTGCCAGCCCGCTTTATTGCCAATAAATAATTATTTCATGTTATTATTCAGACGTATCTAAGATCTAAACAAAAAGTCGCACGTATGTTTTTTTTGGACTCAGACGCCGTGCAGTGTGATAGAAATGTGGCGGTGTTTCTGAAGAACCTTCCGTTTCCATCTTCATGGTAAGTGAGTAAGCTATAGTAAGCTGTGAGGGAAAAGTGTATACACACAGAGAACGAAAATCACGAAGAACTTCAATTATTTTGCATTAAAGTTTATACGATAAATTGTTATGAAGTCTGGATAG